GCCTGTAATGATCAGACGCTTTCTCGCTCAGACGTGGCCGCTAAATAAACAGGAAACATGTTAGCTGACACGCGGTGTAACGTTACCATGACAGCAGCGGCGCAGAAATGACCGTCAACATGAAGTCGATGAAGAAACGCTACGCGTCCTCGTGTCGATGAGGCGCCGCGCTCGTGTGGACAAAGGAAACAGGATGTGCGGCGCTGCCGTCAGCGCTGCGGGATCCTTTGGCTCCACGTGTTGGTGGACAGCAGCTGCGCTGCAGTGAAGCCCTCGGAGAAGCAGCACGCTGTCAACCCTGAAATACTCGAAGGGGCTAAGGGGCGGTCTGGCAGCTGCAGCTCCCGCTAACACCTGATGCAGCGACGCTTCCGCGCACGTAATTTGAGTCGACGTATTTACGTAATCGACTACGTGTCGACAAATAGCCCCGGTACAGCGGGGACCAGTTTCAATGCGACACACAACCAACAGGAACGCTGGGCTGCTGTTAGTTTCACACAGACTTCACTTGGTAAAAAAAAAGGTGCACTATTAACTTACGTTACAACTCGCGGTGGCTATTTAATAAAAATAATAGTTTTACTAAACTGCGACTACAGGAGCAATGGAAGATTAAATGTATTAAACGCTGGAGCTGCGCCTGGAGGGGAAAAAGGGGTTCGATGAGGAAAACTAGATCCCTACAGAGAGGCCAGCTGGTAGCGCCAGACTTCAGCTGACTCTGTTGCAGTGGGAAATTCTACAACTTGGTTATCGACCACTTCACCGTGACAGACAGGAGAACGGCTTCCTTTTCAGATGGGGGGAGTGAAAGGTCTCCTCCTCCTCACTGAACTGAATATATGTGACCATCAGAAATCGGTGTGTGATTTCTGATGTGGTTATATTGTTGGTTTTGCTTTGCTTGCCTGGATTTAGCTGTGAAGTAACCTGATTGTTTTTACTGTGGTTGTGTACGCATAGATAATGAGCTCCGGACGGCACCTGCCTGAATAATACTGTGTTGGTCGGTGTTATGAACATTTGGCCAAGCATTAAATAAGAAGTGTGTAGGCCTGTTTGATACCTGCACCGCTGCTACTATGCAAATGTAAAACTTGAATCCTGATGGAGCTTGTGAATGCTTCTTTTATTCTTAACCGTAACCTGTGTGTACTGTTTACTGTAAGCATCGAGCTGAGAGAGAGAGCGCGCACGTGTCGGTAAATGCAACTTTGAGCGCGTGTGTTTTGATAACGGTGTGCATCTTTAAAATATGACTCGGTTTAGTGTAAATCTTTCCCTGCACAGTACATTAGATAATTGAGCTCAATAAAGGACGTCCCCTCTCACTTGGCTTCCCCAAACATTTACCCGACGTCTCTGCTTTCCATTCCTGATGAATAAGCGTCTTACAAACAGTCTTAAAGAGGTGGTTTTCTGCTCATCAGGTTCCTCACCTTATTTAGAGTTTGTACCAGAGCAGGTTTCCATGGTTATATTTTTGTCATCCTGCACATTGCTGCAGCTCCTCTTTTCAGCCTGTGTTGAAGGCTTCGTTTTAGCTATGGAGTGATACATCTTGTCTCTAAATGATCTTTGTTGAGAGTTGCACATGCTCACATGGGTCAGCGAGAGGCCGGTAAACGGCTCGGGTTCAGCCGTCCGGACTGGAGCGAGAGTTTCAGAGCGGCGAGTTATTAATCTGTATCCATAAAGTTTGAACTGAGCTCTGTCTCTACATCACAGGAACAACTTTCTGTCCACTGACTGCCTGGAGGGTAGCTAGTGTTTGGAAGGGAGAGGAGAGCTGTGTGCTGCAGCTCGCTGTTTCGTTATATGAGGCGCGTTTAGCTTTCATCCCTGTGACGTCACAGGGATGAAAGGGAAGCGGCTGGACTACAAACGAGCTGTTTTGAGAGCAGAGTTTTCTGTGGGAACTCACTTTGGGCTTTTTCACTTTGCAAACCTGTTACAGCACAAAAAAGGTTTATAACTCAAAGGAGAGGGGAAAGCAGAATACCGCCTCTTTAAGTACATTTAATATCAAAAATATCAAGCTGGTCATCGCTGCAGTGAACTCTGCTGATCCTCCATCCTGCAGGCCTGTTCTCAGGTCTACGTTTGGCTCGGACCCAAAGTTGAAGGAGGTCTGCGGTGCAGTTTCTCTGATGGCGCTCACATGAACTAAAAACTACCTGAGCTTACGTTAGCAGCTCAGCTGGGTTATCTCTCTCGGACCGATCGGCAGCCTGCGGTGCTTCCACGCCACCTGCCGGTCTCAGCTCACGGATACCAGAAAGAGAGCAGATATCGTTTGGACTGATAATAATGAAAACAACGATTAGCTTTCTGCTTTACTGTGAGCTGCTGAACACATGAAGAAGAGTATTGATCAGGCTGCACAGTGCCGCTCTGTGTCTCTGTAACCCGGACAGCCTGCCTGCAGCGGCCGCTGCAAAGCATGCTGGGAGAGGGAGGGGGAGGAGGCTCTGGCTCTGCCTCCCGATTGGCTGCTGCTGGGCCCAGCTGACTGCTCTCTGTCAGACGGAGAGAGAGAGACATAGGGAGGGTGATGGAGGCTACAGCGATGGGGTGAGCTGCCATTTTCTCTTTCTTTATCCACAATCAGCCTTTATTCACCGCGCTCTTCTTCTGTGCGCTCATTCACCCGCGCTCTTCTTCTTTTGTTTTTATTGTTGTGTGTCAGACGGATTAAGAACAGGAGGGGGATGGAAGCTACGTTGGGGGGGGGGGGGGGGGTCGTATTTTTCTTCTTTCATTGTCTGTTCTCTGGTGTGTTTTCCTTCTTCTGTGGTGGTTTGAATTTATTTAGTTTCCTGTGATGGAGGGAGAGAAGAGGAGAGAGAAGAAGGAGGGGGGGTGATGGAGGGAGGAGAGAGGAGGGAGAGAAAATGGCCGACCGGTGATGGAGGATGGATGCAGAGGGAGGAAATAAAAAATGAAAGAGGAGGAGAGGCTGTCCTGCTCCCAGACAGGAAGCTGCTCACATCTGATCGCTGTGATGGGTTAATAATACAGAATCTGTCAGGCCGCTTCACTGTGGCTCAACCGAAGTACTGTGTGGTGGTACTGCAGTACTACTGCAGTAGTACTGCAGTACTGTGTATCAGGGACATGCTGGTATCGGTATGTCACGCTGTGTGTATTAGAAAGTATCCCGGTAGAGTCGTAGTATTGTCACAGTATTTATCCAACCATTCACCGAAAAGACACAACACTCGTTTTTGGGATTTTTGTTTTCAGGCGCAGGTTGGAGGCTTTATCAGAACAAAACCAACGTGGTCTTGATGTGTTCGCTGTGGCTTTAAAATATCCGCCGTGATGCATAACAAGTGTTTCTCTGCCCGTCAGCCTGCCGGAGCGCCCGTCAGCCTGCCGGAGCGCCCGTCAGCCTGCCGGGCCGCAACTAACGACTGCTTTCATAGTCGATTAATCGATTATTGACACAATTAATCTACTATTTGGATTATGAATCACAAAATGACACAATGCCTCTCATTTAGGGTCACCCCAAAAGCCCACACCACCTTCGGGCGCCACTCCTTCCAGTTCTCCGCTGCCAAAGACTGGAATGAGTTACAAAAACCCTCATGCTAAAGACGCTCACCCCCCTCACTGCCTTTAAAGCACGTCTGTCTGAACTCTTATCCGATCTCTGTACATGCTGGGTCTCCTCCAACACTCACTTTTGCACACCATTACTAAAAGTCCTCTGTCATGTCCCTTTCTTAGTGGCACAGTTTCACCTGTTTTATGCTCTTTTGATCCATTCCATCTGCACAAGTATGCTCAAATATCATTCTTCCCACCGCTACTGCCACACTGTTTTACACACCACCTGATCTACGTCGACAGTTAGAACTCAACTTGCACAAAATGTTTATAGATCTCTGTACTTTTTATTTAGAGAGAGAGAGATTTTGAATATTTTAGATAGATTTTTATTGTTGCCATACCATTTACGCATACAGTCTGACCTGCCTCCTTGAATGGTCAGCACCTGCACTTTCAAATATTCTCCTTACAGACTCATTAGTGTGTTAAGTATTTTTTTAATTCATTCATAGTGTAACTATATGTTGTTCTGCACGTCTACACTTTCTTGGCCAGGTCACCGTTGCAAATGAGAAACTGTTCACAATCGGCATACGTGGTTTTTTAAATTCAGCTTTTAAATTAAACCTGAGGTTGTTTTAGACATGTGCTAATTAACGGTCAAGACAATAAAATAAATGCTTTTAATGAACGTTTCTGCCGCAGCAACAGAAAGTTCAACTGATCTCAGCAGCTTTCACGCCGGGACAAACTGACCCTGTATCCAAAGACAGGAATAACGTCAGGCATTACATTTGACAAATTTACAAGAGGGGTCAATAATAACAATTTTGTAGTAGACAGTGTTTAACAACATCTATATAGTTTCTTCTAACTCAACAACTCACAAAACTCGGGAGTTTGTGGCGGATTAGCCGCCGCCTCCCGCACAGACAGTTTTCTCTTCTTTAGAAAGTTTGAAATTGTCGGGTGCTGTCTGATCTTGCGCACTCGGCAGCAACACGCTCTCCAGCTGCAAACGTCGCCATGAGCGATGCAGCGTTTGACTGTAAAGTAGGGCACATCTGGAATGTGAACGCGGCCGTTGTGTATCATAATTATTTGCTACTCTCAGCGCCATTACTGTAACAATCAATCAAATTGACCAACTGTATAGAAAACGTTACAGCTAGCTCGCTAACTAGCTGACCGAGACGAGTCTTGATCGTTCACGGAGCGTTACGCGCCTTCTCTTCAGACGCTCCGGTGTTTCCAGGAGAGCTTTGCTGCAGTTCACGACCTTTCTGGCTGAGTGAAGAGTGAAACGCTGCCACACTCTGGAGGTTTTAGGATGTGAAGGTGTTACTGCAGCGCGGACGTTGTTTTAGTAACTTCACTGTTCACATCCCTTTAGTCCGTTAAGCTGGTGGCGTTACGGCCCCATGACGTCATGAACAATGCCGCAGTAGCTCATTAAGGCCGGTTACGCCGCAGTAGCCCATGGCGGACCACTGTAGCTATTTTAATTGAGTTGTAGCTGCTAACTAGCTAGCGTCTCACTACCTGGACCAAGAGTACCACAGTACTACAGTGTCACGATTCTTGGTGGTTCTGTGCAGGTCAGACGTGGGTCCTCCAACATGGCGGCAGCGTCGTACGACCAGCTGCTGAGGCAGGTGGAGGTTTTGAAGATGGAGAACTCCAATCTGCGACAGGAGCTGCAAGACAACTCCAACCACCTGACCAAACTGGAGACCGAGGCCTCGAACATGAAGGTGGGTATAACATTGGCCCTGAAATGTATAAAAATACTGCACACAGTGCCACTACAAGTTACTCAGACAGACTGAATGGCAGACTGGGGAAATCATCCGGCGTGTTGAAAGTCCAGGGGAACAGCAGCAAATTTATTTATCAGAATGTGATCATCGGTGTCGTATGTATTGTATATGCCGCTTTTCCATTACCAGTATCTGCTCGCCTTGGCTCGCCTCGGTTTGGCGTGCTCCGTTTTCCATTGCAGATAGTACCCAGGGAGAGTACCCTCAGATAAGCAGTATGAAAACCTTCCAGCTGTGTTTTCCCCTGCTGTTGTTGGATAACCAAACGAAGCCGAGTCGAGCTGGTACTGTGCGGTGGAAAAGGGGCTTATTTTACTTCTTTATCTGGTGGAATCTTTCTGCTTTTTTATTTTTATGTCTCCCTGTTTTTTGTTGTTTCTTCACCTGTAGTTTTTTTGTTCTTTATTGTCCCGTCCTTCCTCTCCAAACACACACTCACTTCCCATTTCCTGTTTCCTGTTTCCTGTTTTCTGTCGATGAGCAGAAAACACACACGGACAGTCTGAGTGTTGTTAGTTCCCATCATGTCGCTGTTTGAACGCTGTCGCTTCATCGTGGTGAGTGAAGGACGAAGCAGCGATAGACTAAAGGCGAGAGACAGACAGAGAGGCAGAGAGTTATTTCTGTTCTTGGAACTTATAGCTGCTAAACTGTGAACAGCCATCTTTGCATTAATTCTCTTCATGTTGTATTCAAATGTAAACTTTATTTCGCTGCAGACTGCTTGGGCAACACACTTAAACATTCATGCTAATAAAGTACATTGAACTGAACTGGTCTTAAATCAGTTTCCATGTTTTTGGTACTCGTGATTTCAACTTCAGCCGTTTTATGATTATTAGAGAGATCAATAATGTATTGATGTTATTAAACCTATGAAACTGTGCTACCCACATCAGCAAACACTAACTCTGTACCACCTTTATTTTCTCATGGACAACAGGAAGTGCTGAAGCAGCTGCAGGGCACCATAGAAGAAGAGTCTGGAGAGGCGTCAGGCTGTCAGCTGGAGCTCATCGAAAGACTGAAAGGTGAAGAAAACAAACGCATACAGACAATCAGCACATGAATATAACGCTTCCAATCCAGGCAGGTCTCTGGATGTGTGAAACCTCTGAAAGCCCAGCGGTCGCACATATAAAATGTTAAAGCTTTGACACGCTGCACCTCGTCTCCACGGTTCAATCTATCTGTGTGCCTCCTCCAGAGATGAGCCTGGACTCTGCAGGTTTTAAGCCCAGGTTGAGGTCTCCCCTGCCCCCCTCGTCCTCCTCCAGCTCGGCCTCTTCAGCTTGCGGAGCTCCTGGAGGAGCGGCTGGAAGCTCCGGAGCTCAAGGCCCCCCGACAACCGCTGCCTTCCCCAGGAGAGGGTTGCCATCTGCGGGCAGAGACAGCCACGACCGGTGCCTGGAGGAGCTGCAGAAGGAGAGGTACTGTGGAGAGGACTGACAGTACTACTGAGAGTACTACCACTACTGTACCACTGCTGCTACTGATTACAAAACTGAAAAGACGATTGTATAAAGAGTACAACTACTATAATACTGTAACCACTAATAGTACTGCTGAAAATACTACTAGGACTGTACTGTTAATACTGCAACATCTAATAACAATACCAAAATACTACTACTGCTTGTATACTGCTGATTCAGCGTTCATTCATTTTTGTGACCATATTTGTGGTTTTTGTAAAATTATTAATGTTCCCTCTATCTCCCTGTCCTGCTCTGTGATTGGTTGCTGCCCCCTGAAAGATCTCTCCTATTGGCTGAGCTGGAGAAGGAGGAGAAGGAGAAGGACTGGTACTACGCTCAGCTGCAGAATCTCACCAAGAGGATCGACAGTCTGCCGCTCACTGAAAACGTAAAGTACTTTAAGCCAAAGTTACAGATTCATTTAACAGTCAGACTGTGTAACCATCATACAGGTTGTAGTTCTCTCTGCAGACGAGTCAGCTGGAGTTAATGTTGTAGTTTTCTGTTTGTAGTTCACTCTGCAGACGAGTCAGCTGGAGTTAATGTTGTAGTTTTCTGTTTGTAGTTCTCTCTGCAGACGAGTCAGCTGGAGTTAATGTTGTAGTTTTCTGTTTGTAGTTCACTCTGCAGACGAGTCAGCTGGAGTTAATGTTGTAGTTTTCTGTTTGTAGTTCTCTCTGCAGACGAGTCAGCTGGAGTTAATGTTGTAGTTTTCTGTTTGTAGCTCACTCTGCAGACGAGTCAGCTGGAGTTAATGTTGTAGTTTTCTGTTTGTAGTTCACTCTGCAGACGAGTCAGCTGGAGTTAATGTTGTAATTTTCTGTTTGTAGTTCACTCTGCAGACGAGTCAGCTGGAGTTAATGTTGTAGTTTTCTGTTTGTAGTTCTCTCTGCAGACGAGTCAGCTGGAGTTAATGTTGTAGTTTTCTGTTTGTAGCTCACTCTGCAGACGAGTCAGCTGGAGTTAATGTTGTAGTTTTCTGTTTGTAGTTCTCTCTGCAGACGAGTCAGCTGGAGTTAATGTTGTAGTTTTCTGTTTGTAGTTCACTCTGCAGACGAGTCAGCTGGAGTTAATGTTGTAGTTTTCTGTTTGTAGTTCTCTCTGCAGACGAGTCAGCTGGAGTTAATGTTGTAGTTTTCTGTTTGTAGTTCACTCTGCAGACGAGTCAGCTGGAGTTAATGTTGTAGTTTTCTGTTTGTAGTTCTCTCTGCAGACGAGTCAGCTGGAGTTAATGTTGTAGTTTTCTGTTTGTAGTTCACTCTGCAGACGAGTCAGCTGGAGTTAATGTTGTAATTTTCTGTTTGTAGTTCACTCTGCAGACGAGTCAGCTGGAGTTAATGTTGTAGTTTTCTGTTTGTAGCTCACTCTGCAGACGAGTCAGCTGGAGTTAATGTTGTAGTTTTCTGTTTGTAGTTCACTCTGCAGACGGATATGAGTCGTCGTCAGCTGGAGTTTGAAGCTCGTCAGATCCGTTCAGCCATGGAGGAACAGTTGGGCTCCTGTCAGGAGATGGAGAGGAGAGCTCAGGTATGAACTCAGCTGGAGGCTCTTTCATTTTCATTTCATTTCATTTATTTATTTAAGGACAGTGCACATTAATCAACATTTCTGTAAATGTGCCAGTGTTAGCCAGCAGGCTAATTTTCACCTGTCTGAACACACTTTCCCTTCAGTGAGCCCTCTACTGGCTCTCAAACGACTTCAAACACACCCTGAAAATTCTCAGACAGGCAGAATATTTCATTTTCTCCCATGTTTGAATAATGTCTGTGTGTCTCTTCAGGCTCGTGTGTCTCGTATTCAGCAAATAGAGAAGGACATCCTGAGGCTGGGAGTTCGCCTGCAGGTAACTTCACCTGTTCTTTACTACAACACATCTAGACTTTAACGGACACTCGTCATAATAAACCTGCTCTTTCTGGGAGCTCCAGCTCATTGGATGATGGAGCTGATTCTCCAGCAGCTGCTGTTAAACCACCACCGAAGAAGAGGGCGTGGCGAGTGTCACAGCTGAGTGTCGGCAGCTTTTGTTGATCAGGTCTGATTCTGTTGATCCACAAGCTGCAACAGGAAACCAGTTTGATGTGTGGAACTGCTGGTTTCACCACAGTCTGTGTAAAGAAGTGGGCGGAGCCGCCCTGACGTCACTGTTGGTTTGTGGACTGCCGTTTGGAAGCCTCCAGTTTGGCATTTTGGACACCGCCATCTTGATTATTTTCCAACCAGAGAGTGGAGCTAGCTAGCTTGGTTAGCAAGGTGCATCTGCAATTCACCTTAACTGTGATGCTAATTTTAGCTAGCGAAAAACAGGCTTAAAACTAAACATACTCACTGAAAAATGAGCAGCCGACTCCTGATGAGCTTTTTCAGCGGCGCTGGTTAAATGTTTACAGAGCAGCACACACGAGCCGCCTCTATCCTGACTGACAGGTCGCCATGGTGGCTGTCAGAGAGGATGCGGGTTTAAGTCGCCCCCTGCTGGCTGCTAGAGAAGAAGTGGGTTTAAGTCGCCCCCTGCTGGCTGCTAGAGAAGAAGTGGGTTTAAGTCGCCCCCTGCTGGCTGCTAGAGAAGAAGTGGGTGTAAGTCGCCCCCTGCTGGCTGTCAGAGAGGATGCGGGTTTAAGTCGCCCCCTGCTGGCTGCTAGAGAAGAAGTGGGTGTAAGTCGCCCCCTGCTGGCTGCTAGAGAAGAAGTGGGTTTAAGTCGCCCCCTGCTGGCTGCTAGAGAAGAAGTGGGTTTAAGTCGCCCCCTGCTGGCTGTCAGAGAGGATGCGGGTTTAAGTCGCCCCCTGCTGGCTGCTAGAGAAGAAGTGGGTTTAAGTCGCCCCCTGCTGGCTGCTAGAGAAGAAGTGGGTTTAAGTCGCCCCCTGCTGGCTGCTAGAGAAGAAGTGGGTGTAAGTCGCCCCCTGCTGGCTGTCAGAGAGGATGCGGGTTTAAGTCGCCCCCTGCTGGCTGCTAGAGAAGAAGTGGGTTTAAGTCGCCCCCTGCTGGCTGCTAGAGAAGAAGTGGGTTTAAGTCGCCCCCTGCTGGCTGTCAGAGAAGAAGTGGGTTTAAGTCGCCCCCTGCTGGCTGCTAGAGAAGAAGTGGGTTTAAGTCGCCCCCTGCTGGCTGCTAGAGAAGAAGTGGGTTTAAGTCGCCCCCTGCTGGCTGCTAGAGAAGAAGTGGGTTTAAGTCGCCCCCTGCTGGCTGTCAGAGAGGATGCGGGTTTAAGGTTTCACTTGTCCGACCCGGAGGTTCCTGCTTGGTTCTCAGGCAGCAGCAGCAGATAACATGAACAGCATGAACTTTCAAGTTCCTGTCTTACCTTTTGTGAAACCACAAGCGCGCTCTCTCTCTCTCTCTCTCTCTCCCCCCCACCCCCCAGGTAGATGAAGGTCAGGGGGTGAGTGACAGCAGCGGATTGGCCGGAGCTCAGGTGAGTGTCCTTTCCATCACTCGACTTCCCTTTCTTTTCTTTTGGCATTTAGTTAATCTTTTGTTCTTTTCCTCCTTCAGAGCTCCAGCAGCCGATTGGACCATGAGCCGGCCAGTGAGGCGGGCTACTCTGTGCCTCGACGAATCACCAGCCACCTGGGAACCAAGGTTAGTACTTCTGCCAGTAACAGCCCTGCTCATGCTGCCCTCAGGACCCAATCACTGTGAGCCTCTGCGTCGACCCATTACAGGTGGAGATGGTGTACAGTCTTCTGTCCATGCTGGGGACGCACGATAAAGACGACATGTCGCGGACGCTGCTCGCCATGTCAAGCTCACAGGACTCGTGCATCGCCATGCGTCAGTCAGGCTGTCTGCCGCTGCTCATTCAGCTGCTGCACGGCAACGACAAGGACTCCCTGTTGCTAGGTCAGTTCCTGTGGAGGTCAAATATTTGAAGTGGGTTGTCTTCTTGAGGTAACTTGCCTGACTCACCTGTTGGTCTCCCGATGCCTAGGTAACTCTCGCGGCAGCAAAGAGGCTCGTGCGCGGGCGTCGGCGGCGCTGCACAACATAGTTCACAGCCAGCCCGACGATAAAAGAGGCCGGCGCGAGATCAGGGTGCTCCACCTGTTGGAGCAGGTGCGTCATTACTGTGAGGCGTGCTGGACCTGGCAGGAGAACCACGAGAGGGGCGTGGACCAGGAGGAGAACCCCAGTGAGTCATGTCACATACACTTACCAATCAGGCCACACGTCACATGACCACGACGCACTGCTGCAGCTGAATGTTCTAAATATTAATATATAAAATGTGTCCTCAGTGCCATCTCCGGTGGAGCATCAGATCTGTCCGGCGGTCTGCGTCCTCATGAAGCTGTCCTTTGACGAAGAACACCGGCACGCCATGAACGAGCTCGGTGAGTCTGACACCGGATCTACTGACCGGGATAGATGTACAGGGCAGAGTGTTACCTGCCCTAGATGGTGTGAGGGTGCAGAAGCAGAGAAGCGTACCTGCAGGAGTTGAGCGTCCGGCTGCTGTGGGCAGTGTTAGCCACCCGTCCTGCAAGTTTTTCTTTGTCCCTCAGCTCCCCTTTAAAACTGTTGTTTCATCTTTGTTTCATGGTTTCTGAGCAGGATGTTGACTGTTTCCGCCGACTGACTGTTTCCGCCGACTGACTGTTTCCGCCGACTGACTGTTTCCGCCGACTGACTGTTTCCGCCAACTGTTTTCTGATGCTGTCTGTCTGTGGGTTATTTGCCCCTGCAGGAGGTCTGCAGGCGGTGGCAGAGCTGCTGCAGGTGGACTGTGAGATGTTCGGTCTGAGCAGCGATCATTACAGCGTCACGCTGCGGCGATACGCCGGCATGGCGCTCACCAACCTCACCTTTGGAGACGTGGCCAATAAGGTGAGAGGAAACTACCCTTTACACCTGGTTCATGGTTCAATGTCTGAAAAGTCCGTCGCCTGTGGGCCCTCTGGGGCCTGAGTGAGACGTGACCATGAGAGTTTGATTTAGTGAACGCTGCTGGAACCACAGAGGCTGTGTCCGAAATCCCCCCCCCCCCCCCGTAGCAGCTGTATGCAGAGCACTACATAGTGAGCTCACTCGCATTATTAAAACAACGCTTTTGGACACTTCTCCGTTATTTCGGTGCCGTTAATTACGTTGTTGCCGTCTGATTGTCAGGTTTTTTTAGTTTATTTATATATTTTTTTTTGATCAGCGTAATGCATGATGGTACAGGCGGCTAGGTTAGTGACCATCGGTTGTGCACTACTTTTCAAAATGCATTCTGGGATACATTGAGTGGTATAATAATTCTCACTATAAATTGGGACAGCGCTACAAAATGGCGAGCTCACTATATAGTGAGCAGTGGGTGATTTCAGACAGCCACAGTCTCTGTAAATGGGATTTATGGGGCTGTTATTATTTTCAATTACTAATTTTGGGTATTGTATAATTTGTATAAGAGAAAAAGTTGCTCAATTAACAAACCAGTCTATCCTAAATAAATGTCAAAAACATGTCGAATCAATAAATCAGTATTTTATTCAGTCATCCTGATCACGACCACAGCAGCATCTTACACCGATGTGTTGTGATGATAACTGTAGCAGTAACCAGGCCGCTTCACTGCAGACTGTTCCTGGGTTTATTTCACCACTGAGTGATGCACTCTGATAATCACACGTGTTTCTGCAAAGATCGCCTGTAATGATCAGACGCTTTCTCGCTCAGACGTGGCCGCTAAATAAACAGGAAACATGTTAGCTGACACGCGGTGTAACGTTACGGCGGTAGTGAGGCGTTAGGGGCTTAGAGACCCAGTGCTTTGTCACCTTTTCACCCCTGATCCCTGCTCATTTCTCTCTCAGGAGCCAATCAGATTACAGCTTTCTGTTGTTATTTTCAGGCCACGCTGTGCTCCATGAAGGGCTGTATGAGAGCGATGGTGGCTCAGCTCAAGTCTGACAGTGAAGACCTGCAGCAGGTAAACTCACCTGTGTAACTCGCCTGTCCCTCACCTGTGTAACTCGCCTGTCCCTCACCTGTGTAACTCGCCTATCCCTCACCTGTGTAACTCACCTGTGTAACTCGCCTGTCACTTACCTGTGTAACTTGCCTGTCTAACTCGCCTGTAACTTGCCTGTCTAACTCGCCTGTAACTTGCCTGTCTAACTCGCCTGTAACTCGCCTGTCCCTCACCTGTGTAACTTGCCTGTCTAACTCACCTGTAACTTGCCTGTGTAACTCGCCTGTCCCTCACCTGTGTAACTCGCCTGTCCCTCACCTGTGTAACTCGCCTGTCCCTCACCTGTGTAACTCGCCTATCCCTCACCTGTGTAACTCACCTGTGTAACTCGCCTGTCCCTTACCTGTGTAACTTGCCTGTCTAACTCGCCTGTAACTTGCCTGTCTAACTCGCCTGTAACTTGCCTGTCTAACTCGCCTGTAACTTGCCTGTCTAACTCGCCTGTAACTTGCCTGTAACTTGCCTGTGTAACTCGCCTGTCCCTTACCTGTGTAACTTGCCTGTCTAACTCGCCTGTAACTTGCCTGTCTAACTCGCCTGTAACTTGCCTGTCTAACTCGCCTGTAACTCGCCTGTAACTTGCCTCTGTAACTCGCCTGTAACTCGCCTGTGTAACTCGCCTGTCCCTCGCCTGTGTAACTCGCCTGTAACTTGCCTGTCTAACTCGCCTGTGTAACTCGCCTGTGTAACTCGCCTGTGTAACTCGCCTGTCTAACTCGCCTGTCACTCGCCTGTGTAACTCGCCTGTCTAACTCGCCTGTCTAACTCGCCTGTCTAACTCGCCTGTCCCTCGCCTGTGTAACTCGCCTGTCCCTCGCCTGTAACTCGCCTGTGTAACTCGCCTCACCTGTAACTCCCCTCACCTGTCCCTCGCCTGTGTAACTCGCCTGTCCCTCGCCTGTGTAACTCGCCTGTCCCTCGCCTGTGTAACTCGCCTGTCCCTCGCCTGTGTAACTCGCCTGTCCCTCGCCTGTGTAACTCGCCTGTCCCTCGCCTGTCTAACTCGCCTGTCCCTCGCCTGTCTAACTCGCCTGTCTAACTCGCCTGTGTAACTCCCCTCGCCTGTGTAACTCGCCTGTCCCTCGCCTGTAACTCGCCTGTGTAACTCGCCTCACCTGTAACTCCCCTCACCTGTCCCTCGCCTGTGTAACTCACCTGTCCCTCGCCTGTGTAACTCGCCTCACCTGTCCCTCGCCTGTGTAACTCGCCTCACCTGTAACTCGCCTGTGTAACTCGCCTCACCTGTAACTCGCCTGTGTAACTCGCCTCACGTGTAACTCGCCTCACGTGTAACTCGCCTCACCTGTAACTCGCCTGTGTAACTCGCCTCACCTGTAACTCCCCTCACCTGTAACTCCCCTCACCTGTAACTCCCCTCACCTGTAACTCCCCTCACCTGTCCCTCGCCTGTGTAACTCACCCGTCCCTCGCCTGTGTAACTCACCTGTCCCTCGCCTGTCTAACTCGCCTGTCTAACTCGCCTGTGTAACTCCCCTCACCTGTGTAACTCGCCTGTCCCTCGCCTGTAACTCGCCTGTGTAACTCGCCTCACCTGTAACTCCCCTCACCTGTCCCTCGCCTGTGTAACTCACCTGTCCCTCGCCTGTGTAACTCGCCTCACCTGTAACTCGCCTGTGTAACTCGCCTCACCTGTAACTCGCCTGTGTAACTCGCCTCACGTGTAACTCGCCTCACCTGTAACTCGCCTGTGTAACTCGCCTCACCTGTAACTCCCCTCACCTGTAACTCCCCTCGCCTGTGTAACTCACCCGTCCCTCGCCTGTGTAACTCACCTGTCCCTCGCCTGTGTAACTCACCCGTCCCTCGCCTGTGTAACTCGCCTCACCTGGAACTCGCCTGTGTAACTCGCCTCACCTGGAACTCGCCTGTGGAACTCGCCTCGCCTGTCCCTCGCCTGTGGAACTCGCCTGTGTCCCTCACCGGTCCCTCACGTGTAACTCCCCTCGCCTGTGTAACTCGCCTGTCCCTCGCCTGTGTAACTCGCCTGTCCCTCGCCTGTGTAACTCGCCTGTCCCTCGCCTGTGTAACTCACCCGTCCCTCGCCTGTGTAACTCGCCTCACCTGTAACTCGCCTGTGTAACTCGCCTCACCTGTAACTCGCCTGTGGAACTCGCCTCACCTGGAACTCGCCTGTGGAACTCGCCTCACCTGGAACTCGCCTGTGGAACTCGCCTCGCCTGTCCCTCGCCTGTGGAACTCGCCTGTGTCCCTCACCGGTCCCTCACGTGTAACTCCCCTCGCCTGTGTAACTCGCCTGTGTCCCTCACCGGTCCCTCACGTGTAACTCCCCTCGCCTGTGTAACTCGCCTGTCCCTCGCCTGTCCCTCGCCTGTGCAACTCGCCTGTCCCTCGCCTGTGCAACTCGCCTGTCCCTCGCCTGTGCAACTCGCCTGTGTAACTCGCCTGTCCCTCGCCTGTGTAACTCGCCTGTGTAACTCGCCTGTCCCTCACGTGTAACTCCCCTCGCCTGTGTAACTCGCCTGTCCCTCGCCTGTGTAACTCGCCTGTGTAACTCGCCTGTCCCTCACGTGTAACTCCCCTCACCTGTAACTCGCCTGTCCCCCTCGCTAGTCTGTGTTAAATGGATCCATCTGTCTCCTGTTTGAATATTTATTTGTTTGCCAGGTGATAGCAAGCGTGCTGAGGAACCTGTCGTGGCGTGCTGATGTCAACAGTAAGAAGACGCTGCGCGAGGTCGGTAGCGTGCGAGCACTAATGGGCTGTGCTCTTGAGGTCCAGAAGGTAAGCAACAACAGTTTAGCTGTGCTGTTTGTTTGTGTTTGTTGGTTCTCTAATCAGCTGCCTGCTCTGCTCCTACTCCTGAAGGAATCGACTCTGAAGTCTGTACTGAGCGCGCTCTGGAACCTGTCGGCGCACTGCACAGAGAACAAGGCGGATATCTGCGCCGTGGACGGCGCTCTGGCGTTTCTGGTGGGAACACTGACACACCGCAGCCACACCAACACGCTCGCCATCATCGAGAGCGGCGGCGGCATCCTGCGCAACGTCTCCAGCCTTATCGCCACCAACGAGGCACACAGGTAAACAACCTGTAACGGGTAAACAACTGTTAACAACCTGTAAGGGGTAAAGAGCTGTTAACAACCTGTAAGGGGTAAAGAACCTGTAAACAACCTGTAAGGGGTAAAGAACCTGTAAACAA